TCGTTACATCCCACCGTCGCAGTGCGTCAGCCGGGATGCCGAGATCGCCTCAGTGAGGCGTGACAAGGACTTCCTCTCCCTAGAGTCTGGGGAGATCACAGTAAAGAAAAAGGAGCACAGCGTGCACGTGGAGATCGGCAATGAGCTAAAGCTCACGCAGGCGCTCACGCGCAGAGGTCTCGCGCTCGACAGAGTCGGCGTGTTGGATTTCACGATTCACGAGAGACTCGTGAGACAGTTCTTCTCCGTCCTGAACCGGCCAGCGCCGCCGGGGATGGAGCGCGGCAACAGTTGGCACGTAGTACGGGCCGATAAAGAACTGTGGACGCTGCTCGCGCGAGAGTGTCGCAAGGGTTGCAAACCGGACAAGGATGGTAAGAGGCCACTAGATTCTCCAGTAGAGAACATGTGGTCCGATCCGATTGTCACGCTGCACCTGCTCCCCTCGCCAGTGGCAGACAGGGGTCGCAAGGGCAAGGGCCGCAGCTTTACGCGCAGCGAAGAAGACCGCAGTCGTAGCACGACCGGCAAAGGCAAGAAAGGCGGCAAGAAAGGCCGCGGAAAGGGCAAGGGCAAACGGCACGAGAGCGCAGACCGCTCCAGGCCGCCGAGCATGCCCAAAGAGCTTCGCCACTTGAACAGCGTTTCAAAGTCGGGCAAGCGCCTCTGCTACGGTTTCAACCTGCAGTGCGGGTGCGACCTTGAGACCTCCGGCTCCCCCAAGCAGTGCGACAGGGGGTTGCATCAGTGCATGAGCTGCGGCAGCACCGACCACGGAGCCGCAGATTGCCCCAAGAACGCAGGGGCCGCCTGACTAGGCACCCCTGCCCTGAGCGCGGCAGAGCCGCAACAGCCCTCGGCCACTGAGCCCGCAGCTCCTTGCCCAGCAGCGCTGGGCCTCCCTGCCACCGCGCCACGCGCAGGGCAGAGCCCTGACCCTCCCACCGCGGCACCGTCGCTGCACCCGCCTGCAACAAGTAAGCCAGGACGTCCCACAGCGGCGCCGTCGCCTGACGCAGGGTTCGCGGCAAACGCCGACCCCCCAGTGCTCCTGTTGTCTGAACAGCACAGCGTGCCGGTAGACAACGCTCTGGGCGTTTCTCTCCCTGAGCCTGCTCCGCAAGCGACCCCTCGGCCGCCACTGTTTGTGGAAGTTTTCTGCGGCCTCGGTCGCCTTAGTAAGGCAGCCATCGAGAAAGGCTTCTCGAACGTCGCCGTGGATCACAAGACCAAGGCCAGAGGCCTCAAGGTCCTGCAGCTCGACCTTTGCACGCAGCTGGGTCGCAACTTGCTAAGAGCAGTGCTCTCGCACCAAGACCTGAGATGGGTCCACTGGGCCCCGCCGTGCGGCACCTTTAGCAGAGCTAGAGAGATTCCCAGGCCGGGAGCGCCGGGCCCTTTGCGCAGCGAATCGCGCCCAGCAGGCCTTAAAGGCCTCCGAGGAGCAGACGCAGCACGAGTTCGCAGCGCGAACAGCCTAGTCGCTTTCATGGCACAGTGTTGCCACTCCCTGTCTCAGCGCGGCGTTTGCTGGTCCATAGAAAATCCAGCTCGTAGCCTCCTCTGGAGGATGCCCTGCCTCAGAGAGGCCTTGCAGTCAGCTCACAGAGTGGAGTTTGACGCGTGCATGTTCGGAAGCATGCGCCGCAAGCGTACTGCAATCCTCTCCAATTTGGATTGGTTCTGAGTGAAATCGACTTCCCGGACAGGACATTGGCCCAGCAGGTGCGGGAAGGTTTTCCCCTGCTTGGCTGGATACAACCCAGTGGGTTGTGGCCAGTGCAGATCCTGCCTCCTTCTCTAGATGAGAAGTCAATACTGGAAAACGCCCATAGCATAGGTATGCGCGGCGTTCGCAGCGCTCTGCGCCCCTCGCAGGACGGGGTCTCGGACAGGGTCTGGGAAAGCACAATAGAGGAAGGCCAGCAGGGCTGGCTATCTTTGGAGGACTTCTCGCCAGAAAAACTGCACGAGACGATAGTATCGTCTCGCTTCGGCGTTGTGCAAAAGGGCAAAGTGCGCCCCATTGATAATTTTAAGAGCAGCTTTATCAACAGCTGCTGCGGGACCACAGAGAAGGTCCAAGTCGACAGCATCGACGAGCTCCTTGCCGTGTGCCTCGAGTGGCTGCGCCAGGGTGTGCCCGCAGAGCAGGCCCACCGCATCGTAGGCAGGACCTGGGACCTCAAGAGTGCCTACAAGCAGCTTGCAGTGCAGGCCGCACACAAGAAATTTGCGTGCATCGTCATGGTGGACCCACAGAGTGGGAAGGTTAAAATAGCCCACCTACACAGCATGCCTTTCGGCGCAGTGGCCGCCGTGCACGCTTTCCTCCGCTGCAGCGAGGCGCTGAAAGCCATCGGCCGCGAAAAGCTTGCTTTGGTCATGACGAGCTTCTTCGACGACTTCACAGTTCTTACGCGCAGCGCGCATTCGAAGCTCGTCACTCTGGCAGTGTCCAACCTTTTTAACAAGCTGGGCTGGCAAGTGGCCACAGAGCCCAAGAAGAATGCCGACTTCAGCGAAGTCTTCGACGTGCTAGGCGTGCGAGTCGACTTGTCCAAGCAGCACCTTGGACAAATCTCCGTGAGCAACAAGCCGACCCGTGCAGCAGAGCTGGGGATGGTCCTCAGCGAGGCCCTCGCCCGGGGCAGCATGTCCCCCTTGGAAGCGCAGAGCCTGCGCGGCAGGCTCATCTTCGCTGAGCAGCAAGCCTGGGGTCGCAACACTCGCATGGCAGTGATCTGCGTCGGCGACGTCCTTGGGGATGGACCAGAGCAAGTCCCCCTCACCGAGCAGCAGTGCCAAGCCATGGCGTTCCTGCTGCAACGAGTAGTGCACGGACCGCCCAGGACAGTGTCCATCCATGCGCGCAGGAAGGTGCACCTGTATATCGACGGGGCCTGCGAGTGGGAGACCCCGCGACTGGTGCCCAAGTGTGGTCTCGGAGCAGTGCTCATTGGAGAAGGCATCGCCTTCACCTGGGGGCTGCAGATCAGCAGCCAGGTTGCAGCCCAGTGGGTTGCCAGGGCACAGAAGCAGCAGTTGGTCTACGAGTGCGAGCTGTTGCCCTATTTGCTTAGCCTTCAACTGTGGGCCAAGCATATAGCAGGCAGTGACCTGTTCGTCTGGATAGATAACGACGCAGCGCGTACTTCCTTGCACAAGGCCTTCACACGGAAGGTAGAAGGCGCAGCGATAGTCTCGCAAGCGGTGGACTTTGAAGAGTCTCTGCAGTGCAGGGCTGCTTTCTTCCGAGTCCCGACAGACAGTAACATCGCTGATGGCCCCAGCAGAGACTGGTGGGAAGAGACCCAGCGGCTAGGCGCAGCGCGCCACTACCTGCCGCCCAACGCAGTGCCGTTGGCTTTGTCACTCGGCGCGGACTAAATGGGGGGTGAGTAAGGCTTCGAGTGCCTTCAAGGGGGGTGAACCAGTCGTTCGCCTTACCATCGACCAGCGGTCGAGTTTTCCGTCAAGATGCCAGTGGCATCGTTTCGTCTGTGCCCGAAGATCGGGCCCGAACTGACCCCCCATGTCCGCTAGAAGAAAAAGAGAGAGTGTTTTGCACAGGGTTCCTCTGCAGCGCAGTTAGGGTTTCCCAAACGCGCGCTAACGAGAGAGAGAGAGAGAGAGAGAGAGAGAGAGAGAGAGAGAGAGAGAGAGAGAGAGAGAGAGAGAGAGAGAGAGAGAGAGAGAGAGAGAGAGAGAGAGAGAGAGAGAGAGAGAGAGAGAGAGAGAGAGAGAGAGAGAGAGAGAGAGAGAGAGAGAGAGAGAGATGAGAGAGAGAGAGAGAGAAGAGAGAGAGAGAGGGGGTGGGGGGGTGGGGGGTGGGGGGGGTGGAGGGGGGGGTGGGGGGGTGGGGGGGGGGGGGGGGGGGGGGGTGGGGGTGGGAGGGGGGGCCCCGAGCAGTCCCGACTGTGAGCCCCGAGCCCCGAGCCCCGAGCCCCGGAGCCCCGAGCCCCGACCCCCGAGCCCCGAGCCCCAAGCCCCGAGCCCCGCCCGAAAGCTGCACGGCAAAGCTTGTCTAGTGTCACTCACACACAAGTGAAAACACTGTTTTCCTTTTCGACAAACTTTGTCTACACTTTCGGCGGAAAATAAAACCCATTCACGCACGCATGATGGATGCTTATTTTCCAACGAAACTTCCTCTCTCTCTCTCTGTCTCTCTCTCTCTCTCTCTCTCTCTCTCTCTCTCTCTCTCTCTCTCTCTCTCTCTCTCTCTCTCTCTCTCTCTCTCTCTCTCTCTCTCTCTCTCTCTCTCTCTCTCTCTCTCTCTCTCTCTCTCTCTCTCTCTCTCTCTCTCTCTCTCTCTCTCTCTCTCTCCTTCTCTGTGACACGTGGAGCCAATTCTGCCGAAGCAATCTTTTGCACAAGATCTTTTTTTGTGCCCGCACACAGCTATGGCAAAGCCAAAGCGATCGGAGGCAGAGGAGCAAGAGGCTCCAGAGGAGGATGAGGAGGTTGAGGAGGAAGAGGAAGCAGAAGGAGAAGAGGAAGAAGAGGAAAACGATGACGAGGTAGAGGAGGAGGAGGAGGCAAAGGAGACCCCAGCACCCCAGCCCAGTAAGCCAAGACCGGGGATCCTGAAGTCGGGAGGAATGCCAGGGGGGAAGGCTGTTGCAAAGGCGAAAAGCACACCAAAGGCGAAGGCCAGCCCAGCACCCAGCAAGGCACCCTCAAAGCCAAAAGCCAAGGCCGACCCTGCCAAACCCAAAGGGCCCAAAGCGAAGGCCAAGCCGAACCCAGCAACCCCAGCAACCAGCACGCCTAAGTCGAAGTGCAAACCCAAGAAGGCCAAGACAGCACCCAAAGCCAAGGCCAAGGCCGACCCCAAGGCGAAGGCCGACCCCAAGAAGAAGACCAACCCCAAAGACAACAAGGCCAACCCCAAAGCGAAGGCCGACCCCAAAGACAACAAGGCCAGCCCCAAAGCGAAGGCCGACCCCAAAGCGAAGGCCGACCCGAAGCCAAAGCAACTCGTAAGGAAGTGAAGCATGGCAGAGGCCTTGACCGGCGACTGGATCAATGGGCTTGGGCCTGAGGAGTCCGGCGAGACTCCAGCAGAAGAGCCGGAGGAAAGCGAAGCTGGGCCGAATCGACGAGACCGCAGCAAGCAACACAAGTTCAACGTGTTGCTCGCAGCAGGAGCAGTGCCAGAGAAGATGAAGACGGAGTGGGAGGCTTTGAGTGCCGGCGGCGGCAAGAGGAAGAACCTGACGAAGTTTATCGAGGACTCAGTGAGTCGTGACCCCGAGACAGGGAAGCTTGCCCTCGCCTGCGAAGCCGCAGAAGTGACGGGGGAAAGCAGTCTGGAGAAGAAGCAGTCCACTGGGTGGGGAGACAAGGGATTGCCGAGAACGGAGTGGGAGGCTTTGAGTGCCGGCGGCGGCAAGAGGAAGAACCTGACGAAGTTTATCGAGGACTCAGTGAGTCGTGACCCCGAGACAGGGAAGCTTGCCCTCGCCTGCGAAGCCGCAGAAGTGACGGGGGAAAGCAGTCTGGAGAAGAAGCAGTCCACTGGGTGGGGAGACAAGGGATTGCCGAGAACGCTCTTTAAAGGGCGCTTTGGGTTGTCGGATGAGCAGCTCAGGGCCGCGATCTTGAATGATGAAGTCTCCGTTGTCACCCAAGACAACGTGGTGTTCTGTCAATGGCGAACCTTGAAGTCCACTTCGATGGACGAGCGAAAGAACGTGGCAAACATCAAGTCCGAGGCTCTGAGAGTCTCTGGGTCCCAAGCAGGACAACTCCAAAACCTGTTCGACAGTGTGTCGATGGAAAGGCCTGAGCCGACAGAGGAGGACCTCAGAAACGCCGCTGCCGCTGCCTCATCGGCTGCTCCGCCGACCGTGGCGGTGCCAACCATCAAAGCCATCGAGGACAAGAAGGAGGAGCCTGCCGTGCCAGCGGCCTTGTCAGAGGCCGACTGGTCGAAAGCGGACGGGCTCCTAAAGAAGGCTGAAAGCGCCGTCGAGAAGCTCAAGAAGGTCCTCGCGGGAGTATCATAGCAGTTCCCTGTGTCTTTCTTGGTGTTACACCGAGTTAGGGCAGGGAATTGCACGTCACAGTTCCAGGATGCAAGCAAACTGAGCGACAAGATCAAGCAGAACAAAGACGACCCCCTCCTCAACAAAATGCATCTTATCGAGAATCTATGTAACAGAGAGTATAGAGAGCCCATGCTTCATGTCACAGCCCCCACAAGGAAGGCCACCATCCAAGCTCTGACGGACAAGAAAGCTTTGCTGGAGCATGTGCGATCTTTCCAGGACCAGAGAGATGTGTACAAGTGTGCCTATATATATATATATGCAAATGTGTGCTGCAGGACCTGCCCGATGGCACCCGCATCAACAAGGAGAATCTCCAAACGACCCTGCTCGAAGCAGGCCACACATGCTGTGCTGAATCGGCGACCCTCTTCCCTCGACTCGCGACCCTATATACATCCGAACCCTTCTGCACAGGCCAGCTGTGCAGCCAAGTGGTCGAGGAGATCACTGGCTGGAGTGGCCAGTTGAAGGCCCGTGGCCTCTGAGGCCGGCCTCTAGGGGGGTTTGGGGTCCAGCCTTGAATTTTTAAGGGCTTAGGGCTTTCAAAAGGGTTTATAAAAAGAGTTGATCCTAAACCCTCTCAGAAACAGGGATAATCATGCTAAGTATTGCCCGAAGCCTGGTCCGTCTGGGCCCTAAACCCTCCAAAGTTCGGATAATCATGCTATAAGTATTGCCCAAAGCCTGGTCCGTCTTGGACCTAGACCCTCACAAGTTCGGATAATCATGCTAAGTATTGCCCAAGGCCTGGTCCGTCTTGGCCCTAAACCCGCAAAAGTTCGGATAATCATGCTAAGAATTGCCCAAAGCCCTCTTCCGTTTCAGTCTAAACCCTTCAAAACAGGGATAATCATGCTAAGTATTGCCCAAAGCCTGGTCCGTCTTTGTCCTCAACCCTCAGAAACAGGGATAATCATGCTAAGTATTGCCCGAAGCCTGGTCCGTCTGGGCCCTAAACCTTCCAAAGTTCGGATAATCATGCTAAGTATTGCCCAAAGCCTGGTCCGTCTTGGACCTAAACCCTCACAAGTTCGGATAATCATGCTAAGTATTGCCCAAGGCCTGGTCCGTCTTGGCCCTAAACCCGCAAAAGTTCGGATAATCATGCTAAGAATTGCACAAAGCCCTCTTCCGTTTCAGTCTAAACCCTTCAAAACAGGGATAATCATGCTAAGTATTGCCCAAAGCCTGGTCCGTCTTTGTCCTCAACCCTCAGAAACAGGGATAATCATGCTAAGTATTGTCCAGAAGGCCTTGCCGCAGCTGTTTTTGTTTCGAATATCAAACACCACCCAGCAGTCCCGTGTCCCTTTCTTGGTGTTACACCGAGTTAGGTCAGGGCGCAATATATCAAACCACTCCCCTGTCCCTTTCTTGGTGTTACACCGAGTTATAGGTCAGGGCACAATATATCAAACCACTCCCCTGTCCCTTTCTTGGTGTTACACCGACTTAGCTCAGGGCACAATATATCAAAGCACTGTCCTGTCCCTTTCTTGGTGTTACACCGAGTTAGCTCAGGGCACAATATATCAAAGCACTGCCCTGTCCCTTTCTTGGTGTTACACCGAGTTAGCTCAGGGCACAATATATCAAAGCACTGCCCTGTCCCTTTCTTGGTGTTACACCGAGTTAGGTCAGGGCACAAAATCCAAGACCTATAACCCTATACGGGCTTCAGCTTCAAAGGTTCAGGGGTTCAGGGTTAGAGGGTTTACTTTTTAGATGAAAATATGATCGAAGAGGACATTTCCTATCTCTGATGTTCTGATGGCCGCTTTGGGGCCACCACCAAAAAAAAAGAGGACCACAAGTGCTGGCATCGCAGCAGCCGCCAGTGAACTGCCAGGCTCCAGATTGAGAGTTTGGCTCCTGGAACAGTTTGCATGGGGCCTGCTATCACCACAGCAGGTGCAAGCAATACCTGCTGCAGCATTGCATGATGCCAGAGAACGAACTGTGACTGACCTCGAGCCCCTCGCCAAGCTTGGAAGCTCCGGTCAACACAGCAACAATGTCAACAGGGACTTGATGAGATTGGTCGGGCAGGAGCCACTGATGTACAATCCCAGTCGCACCACTTTGCGAAAAAATGCTTCTGAAGTGCCCGTGCCCGTCGACGGAGTGCCCAGCGACGAGCATGCCTACACCATCAGCCTGCCACACGAGTTATTTAGCAGCCTCTACCACAATTACAAGGCAGCATGGAAACAAGTGATCATGCCTGGACAGGCGTTTTTGGATCGCTTTTGGAAGTCGGCCAGAGGGCTGCCGCAGTGGGAGGGCCACCCACTGGCATCGGAGCCATCCCATCAGGTGAGAAAAATCATACCATTATCATTGCACGGGGACGAAACACCGGTGCTGGCCAAGGGGAAGATTTGGTCCTCTTCAGCCTTAGTGATGTCATGGGCTTCCCTTTTGGGTAGCGGCTCCACGAAACAAAGCCAGCTCTACATCTGGGCCGCCTGGCACAAGTCATTCTCCAAAGAGACGAATGATGACCTCTGGAGTCTTTTACTCTGGTCTTTCGAAGCCTTGTGGTCCGGCGTTTTCCCGAAAAAAGACTGGCGAGGATATGATTTCGATCCCCACAGTCCCGAGGGACAGCGAGCTGGCCAATACCTCGCGGACGGCTATAGAGCTGTCTTGGTGGCTAGCTGTGGAGACCTGGACTACATGGCACAGTTCCAGGGCCTTCCCCGGTGGAATTCCAATTCCCCTTGTTGCTTGTGCCAGTGCCAGAAGAAAGACCGCAGTTGGCACTGCTTTGCGGAGGATGCCGCATGGAGGACAACTCTGTGGACCCCTGCTGCTTGGAAAGCATGGCCGAGCCGAAGCATGAACAGGATGTTCCAGAAGGACCTCTGCTCTGTGCTGGTGGTCCATTTTGACCTGATGCATTGCCGGTACCTTGGCTATCTCCAGCAGCTCTATGGATCGGTTTTTTGGGTCCTCTGTGAGGAGACGATGCATGGGAGTCCAAGCGACAATCTGCATGAACTCTGGGGTTTTCTGAAGACATACCAATCCACCCACAAGGTGCACAGCCCGTACTCCCAGAGGCTGAACAAGGTCAGCATGTACAAGAAGAAGACCGACTTTCCGAAGCTTCGTGGAAAAGCGGCGGAGATCAAGGACATGGCAGCAGCCGTGCGGGCAATGTGGGGTCATTTTGGTGTTCCTGGTCAGGACTTCCAAGAGATTGGGTTACTCTTGGATTTGACATGCAAGTTCGAGGAGATACTGGAGGAATGGCCCATTGCAGACGGCTATTTCTGCCTTCCTGCCGAAGCTGCAGACAGACTGAAGACGAACTTTCGGGACTTCGCATGTTTGTATGTCATGGTCGGGGATCGCTTTCGCAGCGAAGATCGTCGGGCCTTCAATCCTACAGAAAAGATTCTCTTCTTCCGGAACAATGCATGTTTTTCACATTTGTGGCTAACACAAATCCTGCAACCCTTAAACCCTATAAACAGCCTTTTTCTAAAGCCCACAAACCTTTTCTTCCAGAGACATATAGAAGGATGCATGCCTGCGAGCATATCGTCATGCTCAGTGACTTGATTCATCCTGGCCTCACATCTTGCTGGCGAGGGGAGGACAGAAATGAATGGTCTCCTGCTTTATAAACACGTGCTCGCGCAATCCAAAGGGTTTTTTTTTGTGTAGAGGTTTCATATATGTGGGTCCTAGGACTTATATATAGAGAGGGCTTCAAGTCTAAACGATTTTGGGTTTCGGGGCCCTCGAGGACTACATGTCCAAGCTCGGCACTCTGATGGCTTCCTGCTGTCGTGGTGTTCAGCGAGAGGAGGCGAGCCACAAGCTGAACCTGAAGATGAGGCTTGCACTTCACCTGCAGTGGCAGAAGCTGTCGTGACCTCTGTTCTCTGCTCTCCTGGTCCATTTTGACAGATGAGATCTCCCCTGTTCCTTTCTTGGTGTTACACCGAGTCAGTGGGGAGATCCACAAAGCAAACGCCCCTGTCCCTTTCTTGGTGTTACACCGAGTTAGGTCAGGGCGCAATATATATCAAACCACACTGCCCTGTCCCTTTCTTGGTGTTACACCGAGTTAGGTCAGGGCACAATATATCAAAGCACAGCCCTGTCCCTTTCTTGGTGTTACACCGAGTTAGGTCAGGGCACAAAATCCAAGAGCTCTCATCGCTCTCGCGGAAAAAAAATCGCAGTGCACAGAGGCCTGCCGCACAACCCTTTTAAACCCTCTCTATAGAAACCTGTAAATCCTGTGAACCCTATAAACCCTCTATAAGCCACAACAAAAGGAAGACTCTGTTTGCATCTCTCTGGCAGGCTCCATCATCCTGGACGAGGTTTTGGTGGCCAGCTGTGGAGACTTGACGGTGCTCAGCAAGGGGAAAATTTGGGACTGGGCTTTGGCCCACTTTTGGCAAAGGCCTGCTCCAAGGGTTTACAGAGTGTGTCTTTGCAGTCCCACGAAAGAAGATTCAGAGTGCTCTCTGGCAGGCTGTGGCTGTGGTTTTGAGCTCTCCAAAGCAAACTCCCCTGTTCCTTTCTTGGTGTTACACCGAGTTAGGTCAGGGGAGGGCTATGGAGGTTTTGGCACAAATCAAGAAGGCCTGCTCCAAGGGTTTACAGACTGTGTGTTTGCATTCCCACAAAAGAAGATTCAGAGTGTGCTCTCTGGCAGGCTCTGGCCGGTTTTGAGCTCTGGAACTTTCTGAAGACATACCCGTGTTGCTCCAAAGCAGCACAAACTCCTGTGACCTTTGTTCTCTGTTCGCCTGGTCCATTTTGACAGATGAGATCTCCCCTGTTCCTTTCTTGGTGTTACACCGAGTCAGTGGGGAGATCCACAAAGCAAACTCCCCTCTCTGTTCCTTTCTTGGTGTTACACCGAGTTGGGGGAGGTTTCTCGCACTTGGAGGAAGCACTCTCATCGCTCTCGCGAAAAAAAGATGTCGTCGCAGTGCAGTTTCGAAACCTGTGACACATCGCGACTTCCAATGTGAAGAGCATCGCATGCCTCATTGTGTGAGAAGCTTTCGCACAGCGAAACTGCGAACAGCTCTCACGCATTATATAAAGCAGCAGGAAGTTTTGACCGACGAGATGTGAGGGCACACGCACAGAGAGTGAGAGAGAAACAGGGGAAACACACACGAACCCTAAGCCCTATACAGACCTTTTTGGCCCTAAACCCTATAAAACCCTACAGACCTTACACACCCTCTCATTCTTTGGATCAAATTTTCGGCTACAGACCTCACCCTAAACCCTAAAATTTATAATTCTTGTGGCTCAAGTTTTTGGCTCAAATAGAACAGAGGAGCTCTCCTCCACAAAGATGTGCTGGTGCCTCGAAATTCTGTCACTGAAACCTCGAAAAAAGTTCTTCTGGCTCAAATGTGTGGCTCAAAAGAACAGAGGACTCTCTCTCTCCTCCACACAAACATGTATATACATCTCTTGGTTCTGCTTGTTGTTATGTCGGCCGCATTCTTCAGTGGAGACAACAAAATCTTGTTTTTCGTGTGTGTGTGTGTGTGTTTCGTCCAAATGGCATTGGGAAACACATGGAAACACAAGCACAACGGAACTTTGTGCCAGTAATCTCGGCTGCAAATGTACCGAAACAGAGTGTAATTCGGAGAACATGGGCGTATAATTTACACGTTTTGGCGTGTAATTTACACACCCAAATTTACACGAAAACGTGTAAATTTCAGGGATAGATTTACACGTCAAAAACGTGTAAAAAATTAAAAAATGTAAAATGTAAAATTACACGCAATAGATCTATCAGGTTCGTTTATGACGCCGAGCTGGACAGCGATCCGCTTGGAGTGTACAATTCCACAGGATTCTGGCTTCTGGCAATACGATTTTCGTTTTTGAAACGATTTGGTTTGCTAGCCCTCAAAGCTTTTCGTTTTCAACACATGCCTTTTTCCTTTGCGCATGCTTGGACGTGGCAGTGTTGAATTTCGCTTTCGTTTGCCTTTTTGGTTCAAGTTCCGTTCCTGGTCAAAATTTTTCACGAGCCTGGAGATCCGACGTGAGTGCGCTCTCGGGGGGGGGCGCCACTCCGTCACACGTGTCGTGTAAAGGGCTCTCTAAAGGCTTTGCTCTAGGGCTTTAGCGTTGAGCTGCTGGCATGGCGGCTCTGCTCTACTTGTCGCTGGAGCTGGCCTTGGTTCGTCAGGAGGCCCTGGCGAGATCTTTGGCTCGTGCTATGAGTCGCTTCAACGGTGTCTTTGATGATGACGGCATGGTCGACGAAGCACTGTCGCGACGACTTTTGGAGGCGCCTGTTTCGGGCTTCATTGCTGATGTCCTGCCACTTAGCGACGAGGACATGACTGACTCGGTCGACGGCGATAGCAACGCCCTCCGGGCTGCCGACCGCAATGCTTCAGGCGTTACGTCCTCTGAGGCTGGTGACTCTTTGGACCCTGGGAATGATGCTGCACTTTGGGCTCGCCTTCAGAGGCTCGAGCAGGAGCGGCGGTCACTCCCTTGGAGCTCCGCCTCAGAGCAGCAGGGCTGGATCCGCGTGGTGCGGAAAGGCGTTGAGGAGTCCGTGGTCTCTTGGTCTGGCCGTGATACCATGACGGCACTCACCAATGCGGCGGCTCAGACTTGTGGGTCCCCTTTTGATGCCTGGCAGGTAGAGGAGATCGAGATGCGCCTCCGTTCCTGTGGCACGCGTGCTTCCTTCGAAAGCACCATTGAGGATGCCATGGCCGACAACATGTCTCGTGCTCTTCGCCTTCTGCGTTCGGGTCGTTTTGGTCGGCGTGTGGCCGCCTCTCGACGGCGGCGCTGATGTCCATTGATGATTAGCTGGCCTCGGATGCAGTCATGAAACACTTTTGCTCTTTCGCCTGCACTATCACATGTCTAGCTGCGAAATCTTTCGAGCGTCATGAGGGCAGTACTGTGTGCGTGCCTGCACTTGATTCTTGAGACAGGTCAATTATAACAGGTCTTGCCTCAGACTGCATACGCATGCTCGGCCTTCATCTTGTGATTGCCGGCTTAAAGTGCGGGCTGTGGGCGCGGGTCGGGATTGGTGGCGGGCCTCGCTGGCGCCGTTGCCTTAGTTCGGAGCTTTCACGCCTGTGGTGCGTAGTGGCTCTCGGCCCGTTCTGCCCCCCCCCCATCTGACTTTTCCCACTGTTCAGGTCGTGGTGACGCCGCTCGCTCGTGCTCGAGCCAGCTCCTTGTTTTGAGGGATCTCACGTGACTCTCAGGTCTGGGCTTTGACTGAAGAGCCTTGCCACGCCCCCAGGTGGAAGCACTGGAGCCGTTCTTTCGGTTCCCGTTGTGCTTTCAGGTCTTTGCGACGGATCCAAGTGGTGGGCCCGCTCCTCGTCTTGAATCCTTCTGGCTTTGCCCGGGATCTCACGTTTTCTTCAGGTCGGTGCTATTTTGCTGTGGACCTAGCGCCGTTCTCAGATTGAAGCACTGGAACCGTAGCATTCTCGGTTCCCGTTGTGTTTCTGGCGGCTTTAGGTCGCCCGGCGTTTCGCCGCGGTGACACCTGGTCTTGACCTTGGCTGCGTTTGGCAGACTACCTCGCCACAGCCGGACCACGGGTTTTAATAGCTTGCCTGTATTATCAGGTTGTGGCACTCCCAAGTTCACGCTTGGCTGGGACGGCCACTCCGCATTAGGCCACTGTGCTCTACGTTGGCAGTGCCTGCTTGCACCTGTGAACCTCCCCCACCCCTCATTCCCATTTCTGTCAGGTTGGCCCTCTATGTCGCGGCGGAGCTCTTCACCTTTCTGCTTCAGATTCAATCGGAGGCACCCATACAGTGCTCTTGAGGAAGATCCGATCGTTGATTCAAGCCCGCCTTCCTCGGGACATGCGTTGGTCCAGCCGGCCTGGGCCACTGCTTCGGATCTTGCGGAACTCGCCCAGGATCTTCGCTTGTGTTTGTCACAGGCTGCGAACCTCGAGGGCAGGCTTCTTAATGTGGAACATTTGGTGTGGCCTTGGAACTATGACACTTCTCTTTTGTCGGAAGCTGCGGATCGGTTTCTGGCTATAGAACAGAGGTTGGCTGCTCTTTCCGAGGGTTTAGATTCGGTGTCGCTTCATGTCAGCCAGACTGCTTTGCAGACGGATGCATTGTCCTGGAGGTTGGATCGCTTGGAAACTCGTGTCAGGTTGCTCTGGGAAAACGTTGATGACCTGCGGTCGGCTCTGGGCCTATTGGTTCCAACGATCACCGGTGATCCCCAGGTGGCGGCTCAGGCACTATCAGATGCTCTTCCCGCCCGGGTGGCACGGGCTGAACAGGCCCTCCAGTCTTTGTCTCAGCAGGATACGGCATCTGGGCACAGTTCACTACTTGACCGAGTGGCTCGCCTCGAGTCCTTGGTGTCGCAGCTGCCGGTGATCTTGAGCTCCGATATCCATAGCCTCCGCTCTGACTGACAGGTTGTGTTTACCGGGCATCAAGGCGATTTTGCAAACTGCTTTGGAAAATTCGGCGATTCACTGGTTCTCTTTGGACCTTTTGCCTTGGCTAGCTGTGCATGCCTGCCGATCAGCCTGCCGCTTTTGCCTATCTGCTAGGCTCAGGTTTTGGGGGTGGGGTTGCATAGCTCAGGGTCTCTCTGAATGATCATG